TGTGTCCCATCTGTAAGGCGTCGGCAGACATATCCGCCCTTCGAGTGGACACCTATTTTGAGGACATTTTGGCCAATACTCCGGAGTTTATTACCACTATTTCGATGAAATGTGACGGCAATTATGATATCGTCAACCGATTTGAAGGACAAGAGATTTACTCATTAGACGACTCGGTAGCGGACGAAGAGGTTGTTGCCATCAGATCGACACCACTGGCCAACAAAATGTCTATTATTCTGTGTGCTATTATACTAGTATATAATGCACATATTATGTCTCATTTGCATTGATCACAGGGTTATGTATTACTGTTTCACAAGTTTATTATATAAATGTTTAATTAGTTTTTAATGAATTTTTAAATAAGTATTTTATAGACTATAACTCATAGTTTTTCACAAAACAAAACTTCTAGTTTAATTTTTTATGTAATTGTATTTCAATTTATCTTAGAATTAGTTTAATAATCAAATAGCTTAAAAATTTTAATGTGTTTACAATGTGTTTATAAAATGTGATTAAATAGTATTCATTAAAATAAATGATAATTTTTCAAAAAGTATTAATTCTAAAAAAAGTTCTCCAATTCTCGTAAGTCTTTATCAGTTTTCAGATTTTGTGGCAAAAAGTTTAACAATTAATTGTTTATAATTATTGATTTCTAAATAAATGCAATTTTGTCTTCAATTGAATTAAATTTTAAGTTTATTTTAAGATTAAAGTGTAATTAAACACATTTACACATAAATAAGAATTAAATGCATGTTTACAATGAGTTTATAAATTGTGTTTAAATATAATAGTATTCAATACAACAAATGATAAGTTACTAAATGTTTTAACTCTGAAAAAAATCCTCCAATTCTCGTAAGTCTTCATGAAAATGAAAACTTTTATGAAAACATGAGTTTAATAAAAATTATTACCAAATAGTTAAATTAGGTAAATAGTAATAAACATAAAATTGAGTTAAAAAGTTTTAATTTTGAAAAAAGTTCTCCAATTCTTCACTAGTTTTCACAATTTGTGGCAAAAAGTTGTCGTAAAGAAAACTAATGATCTGTTTGTATGATTTGGTCTCAAACTCGGGAACAGTTGTCTTAATTATGCGCCAATTTTTCATCAAATTATTAAATGACGAGATTTTTTCAAACTTTTCTTTAATGAGATCCCAATCGATGGACAACTCGTCGTCGAAATTGTATTTAAATAAACAATAAATCAATTTTAAAGTGTCTTTTAGTGACCACTTGTCCACCAATTGATCGAAATTAGCGATTTTCCACCGAAGATATTGTTTCCAATGAATGCTTACACTACTCGCACATCGATTCAATTGTGATAAATCTCTAACTGCTGTGAAACTAATATGTTTAGTAAATATATGTTGTGTTAAGTCATCCGTATTTAACACCGATTTCATGGCATTTATTAGTTTGATATCTTCATCGGGAGTCCAGAAGCCCTTATCATAGGGCTGTCCAGAGTTGTTATAATGGGCTGTAATACTGATCTCCGCTGCATTGGGTTTGCATTGAATTTTTTCGGCAATTTTAGTCCATTTGGTGCCATATATTGAATGCAATGTCTTTATTATCTGCCTGTCATTTGTGGTCAATTCTTTCACACCTCTCAATGTATTAAACCTAACCCTCGCCTTATGCCAGATGTCTTGAACCGTACGGTTAGGCAAACCGTTGGCTAATCTCAGGTAAAAATTTTCACGTTTCATGAAATCTATAAACTTTTTTCTATTGCTTTTCGTGTATTTAACGCTTAATGAGAAAAACCCTAATAAACGGATTTTCATGTCTTCATCGCAATTGTATTCATCACAAAATGTTTGCCAATTGTTTCGCAAGATTTCAATCTCTTGTGAATTAAGACTCCCTTTAATTACATGAATGTTATTGTCTTTAATTAATTGTCTGTGTTTTGCCCTAAACTGTGGCGTTGGGCTCAAGAGATGTAATGGAGAGTCACTTATAAGGCATTTATTATTAACATTATTATCACAAGTGGTCACTGAATTCACAATCACTTTATTAATAGCGTTATTATTATTATAACTATTATTAACTAAATTATCACAACTTTTAATACTATTGTTATAATCGCTTGAAATATCAATTGTTTCAATACTTTGCACACATTTATCACTTGACACTCGTTTGCCATTCATTTCACTCGTATTTAACACACAATTCATTGAATTATTTTCATTATAATTATTATTAATTTTAATGTTATTATTGTTTGAATTCATAATCAAATCACTATTTTTCACACCATTTGAAACATTAATTTGTTTGCAAATATTTGTAACTATAAAACCTTTTCGTTTCATTAATTTCTTACTATATTTCTTATTATAATTGAGTTTACAATCCATTGATTTAATCGTAAATCCTTTATAACCACTCATTATATCAATAATTATACGAAACACACATTCAATCAAATCATAACAAACACAACAATAAACACATGTTTTCAATGTTTACACATGTGTGCAATATTTATTACTTGCACTACATTTACCATATTTTGCACACGGCTTTTAAACTCATCGTGGTAAACTCTCATCAAAAATATCAAGTTTTATTCACACAAAATAATTAAAAATTTATAAAATCCAAAACAATATTTATAATTTATAAACAACTTATGATAAACTATTGATTACATTATAGACTCTATAATATAGAGTATAATAAATAAATATTTATTAATTAATTTTTACAAAAATCTCGACTATTTTATAGTAAAAGTGTCTCAACTCTATGGGCAGCGCACCGGTGGTCACCATATCATCGGCAAAAACTCGCGGGTAATGTCTGGACAGATATGTGCGGTACAAGTGACACGTGTTGTAAATAGTCGGCACTTTTAAGTTTATTAATATTTATAAATAATGATTTTATTAGTTTTATTTCACAAATAAAATATATTTTATTCATAGATTGAATAGAATTATAATTATAACAGTTATTTAAATGAAATCAACTTTTAAGTAATTAATCAATTGAATACATGTTTACAATGACTCATGAGTTTATAAATTGTGTTTAAATAGTATTCAATACAACAAATGATTTTTAAAAAACTTTTAATTTTGAAAGAAGTCCTCCAATTCTCGTAAGTCTTCATCAGTTTTGAGAAATTGTGGTAAAAATTTGTCGTAAAAAAACTAATTATCTGTTTGTATGTCTTGGTCTCAAACTCGGGAACAGTTGTCTTAATTATTCGCCAGTTTTTCATTAAATTATTAAATGAAGAGATTTTCTCAAACTTTTCTTTTATTAGATCCCAATCGATGGACAACTCGTCGTCGAAATTATATTTAAATAAACAATAAATCAATTTTGATGTCTCTTTTAGTGACCACTTGTCTACCAATTGATCAAAGTTTGCGATTTTCCACCGAAGAATGCGATTCCAACGCCTGTGAACATTACTCTCACTTCTATTCACTTGTGATAAATCAATCACTTCTTTATATTTAATATTTTTAGTAAATATATGTTGTTTTAAGTCATCAGTATTTAAGACCAATTTCATGGCATTAATAAGCCGTAAGTCTTCATCGGGAGTGAAGGTTCCGCTATCATAGGGCTGTCCAGAGCTGTTATAATGTTCCTTAATATTAGACTCAATTACGATTGGTTTGCATTGAAATGTTTCGGCAATTTTAGTCCATTTATTGCCATATATTGAATGCAATGTCTTTATATTCTTCCTCTCATTTAATCCCAAATCCTTAAACCCTTTCAATGAATTAAACTTAATCTTCGCCGTCGTATAGATGTGTTCAATCGTACGGTTAGGCAAACCATAGCCTAATCTCAGGTAAAACTTTTCACGTCTCATAAATTCCCGAAACTTTTTTCTATCGGTTTTACTGTATTTAACACTTCGGGAGAAAAACCTTAATAAACGTGTTTTGATGTCTTCATCGCAATTGAATTCATCACAAAATGTTTGCCAATTGTTTCGCAAGATTTCAATCTCATATGAACTAAATTTGCCTTTAATTACATTAATATTGTTGTCATTTATTAATTGTCTCTCTTTTGGCCCAACAGTCGGATACGGAATCAATAGATGTAACGGAGAGTCACTTATAAGACATTTATTATTAACTTTATTATTAGCATTAATGTTAACCGGATTTATAAACACTTTATTAACTCTATTACTATTATTATAACTATTATTAACTAAATTATCACAACTTTTAGCACTATTGTTGTAATCGTTTGAAATATCAATGGTTTCAATACTTTGCACACATTTATCACTTGACACTCGTTTGCCATTCATTCCACTCGTATTTAACACACAATTCATTGAATTATTTTCATTGCAATTATAAATAGTATTAATGTTTTTATTATTTAATTAATTAACATTTAAATCATTTGAAACATTGTTTTGTTTGATAGCATTTGTAGTTATAAATCCCTTTCCTTTCAATGATTTACAATTGTATTTCTTATAATTATAATTCAGTTTACAATTAATTAATTTAATTATAAATACTTTATAAACACTAATTATATCAATAATCAATAATTGTTGAATAAAACACATTAAGTAATCACAACATTAAACACATGTTTTCAATGTTTACACACTTTTGTGTTGCAATACTTGCACTACATTTACCACATTTTGCACACGGCTTTCAAACTCGTGGTAAAACTTCATCACAATTAGTAAGTTTTTTATTCACACAAAATAATTAGCAATTTATAAATATCCCAAACAATTATCATTTATTATATTAGTATTATTCAAATTATTAATTTCAATCAACGTTAAACAATAGTTATTAATAGAAAATTAAATTAAATATAAATTAGAAAAATAAACAAAAAATAGACAAAATTAATTTGTATTGATTTTCTCAAATAATTTACTTTCGCCACAATTCAAGTCAATCATCACTTTTAGTTCATCCAAACCCTCCACCCCTTCACTACCGGTGCCTGTATTTGGTCTCAACGGCCGACAACTTTCGGACTTCTCTGAAATGATTGGCGCCGGGCGTCTGATCCTCTATAAAGTTACACAATACAAATCATAATAATTATAAATATAATACATATATAAATGGTTAAAATTGGTCAAAAATCTACATACCATTTAACAGACACTTGAGTCGATCCATGTCTTTGAGCCATTTGTCGAAGAATAACGTCGAGTTGTGGACCAATTGGCCGGAATTGACGATCGGATCATTTGCATTGACCATAGCGTTAATGTCAAACAACATACACCTAGATATGTCTTTGGGTGCACTCAGCAAACGTTTGCAGAGCTCACGGCACGACTCGCAGTGATTGCGGTCTGATTTGAGGGCGGATTTAATTTTGCAGTGAAGACACTTAT